GGGCAACACCTGCTACATGAACTCCATCCTGCAGGTGCTCAGCCACCTCCAGAAGTTCCGCGAATGTTTTCTGAACCTCGACCCTTCCCAGACCCAACAGCTGTTTCCCAAGGCCCCCAACGGGAAGGCTCCGCTCTCGGGCAGGCCCGCCGGCGGCTCGGCCACCGAGCTGTCGGCCAGGAGCGATGGGGCCGAGGCGTGCGAGCGGGAGGGCCTCTGCTTCAACGGCGGGGCCTCCATCAGCAGGAGCCTAGAACTCATCCAGAACAAGGAGCCGAGCTCAAAGCACATTTCCCTCTGTCACGAACTGCACACCCTCTTCCGAGTCATGTGGTCCGGGAAGTGGGCCCTGGTGTCGCCCTTCGCCATGCTTCACTCGGTGTGGAGCCTGATCCCCGCCTTCCGCGGCTATGACCAGCAGGATGCGCAGGAATTCCTCTGCGAGTTGTTGCACAAAGTGCAGCAAGAGCTCGAGTCCGAGGGCACCACGCGCCGGATCCTCATCCCCTTCTCCCAGAGGAAGCTCACCAAACAGGTCTTAAAGGTGGTGAACACCATATTCCACGGGCAGCTACTCAGTCAGGTAGGTTGGCCCACCCTGCCCCCGACTCTCCGCCCAGGGAGGCTTGCTGGTTAGAGTCTGGGCTTCTCGTGAGTGCCTCCGCCAGGTTATTGGGCGGACGAGGATAGCCAACATTTGCTGTAATGCCGCGTAACGGAGGTTGGCCGTTGTACCTTTCGTGCTGTGCGTTGTAATGGCCTTGTTGGTGAACTTGCGTCCTCTATCTGGGCAGATTTTTAGTTGAATTTGCTGTATCACGTCATTTTCAGTGACTGTCTTTAACCTTTAATGACAATATAGGTAATATAATATCCTCGTTGTTATAATTAAGAACCTATTGTTGGTGTGCCATCCTTGATCAATTTCAGGAAATTGAACAGTTTGCCTATAACCCTGGTTTCACAGTTTGAAAGAGCCTTCTTCCTTCCAGAACATTCTTTACATACAAGGAAGGGAGATGGCTAGGAGGATGCCAAAGGCCTAAGCAAGTCCCCCTTCTGTTCCCCATTACCTGTCATTTTCTGGATCGTAGGCCATGTAGGGACATAAGCAAAGACTCATAGATAAGATTTTGTGAGAATGTGCGGAAAGAATTTTTAGAGTTAAAAAGGTGGGCAACGTAATGGATTCAGGTAAAACATCTACATTATGTTACTGAGGTATGTGTCTCAGTATTTAGGGTTAAAAGAATGATGAATGGGTTGGGAAGAGTTTTATTTAGACTTTTGTTTTTTAGCATGTAAAGGGGGCGTACTTATGGGCACTTCCTCTACCTGCTGTGGGTCCACAGGAAGAACAGTGCATCTGGGAAGGTTATAGTGGGAGAGGAGGTCTGATCATAAGGTACTTTGAGGCTCTTTGAATACAGGGATCCGTGTAGGGATAATACTGCCAGAAACAAGGGCAAAAAAGAGAGGCAAGTTGGAGTGGGTAGAAGTAGCAAAGTCTGGATGAGGAAGGAGTGAGGATGAGAGAAGCAGACAGGAATCTGCCAATTCTCTATCTCAGACTGATCCAAGAATGGTCCCATGATAACTTCCAGTGTGTACTGCCACAGCACTGAATGGTAGAGCATGCTTTGGGAGAGAAAGAGAAAGGGTGGGTAATAATCTCTGTGCTGTGTGGGTTTCCAGTTCCAGCTAGCATCATGGTTAGAAATGTATACCAACAGTAATATGTTCTAATGCTCTTAAGGCTACATTTATTATTTTAATATAATTAAAATTTTTTGAAAACTTATGCTTCTTTTTGCTAAGATATGTGTTTTGTACAAATCGAGCAAAAATGTATGTGGGAAACATGGAGGTTATATAACCTGTAAATCAATCTTTTCATTCTAGGTCACATGTGTATCATGCAATTATAAATCCAATACCATTGAGCCCTTTTGGGATCTGTCCCTGGAATTCCCTGAACGGTATCACTGCATAGAAAAGGGGTTTGTCCCTTTGAATCAGACAGAGTGCCTGCTCACTGAGATGCTGGCCAAGTTCACAGAGACAGAGGCCCTGGAAGGGAGAATCTACGCTTGTGACCAGTGTAACAGTGAGTGCTGGGGGGTAGAAGTGGAGAGGGAGAAGGGGGACGTGCATCTGGAAGATCGGTGTAAGGTGCTGTTTTTGCTCTTTTAGTCAAAAGTAACACTGATAATATTGAGTGGTTCTAAAGCATCTTTTAAAGATTTTTTTTCTCCCATTTTCCTGAAAACAAGCATGTGGACATCATATGTTAAAAAACAAAACAAAACCTAAGAGTTGGGCTTCCTTTGACTCCTGCTGTGATTGACATTAGTTGTTATCTTGGGAGGCATTTGAAAGTGTGGATCCTGAAATGGGGACTCTTATAAGAACGTGAGTACTTAGCTTCGTAGTGCTACAAGGGTCCTGCTTAAATTCATGAACCTAGATCTGACAGTTCTGATTTCATCTAAAGTCAGGTGGCATAGCTTGTTTGAGGGTTACAGTATCAGAAATGTGTGCCTTGTACTGAATTTGCAGATTTCAACCTGCAGATCGTCAGAATCGATGCAATAGATTGGTACGAGACCAGGAAGGCAAGTCATAAGGTGCATCAGCTTCATGGTTACTTTCTATATTTGTTTCTTCATATGCCTTCACATGCCATGCATCTGGGGAAGGTCATAAGAGTATTTCTCTGTCACGGCTCTCATTTTAAAGTGGAACTCTTTGCATGTGGTTGGTTACACAGGCACCTTTTGCAGAGCTCCTTCCATCTTGCCATACTAACCTTAGTGCTTTTGCTAACCCAGCACGTACAGAGGAAATGCGGAGCAAATACTTAGAAGCTCGAATTTGAGTTTTTTGGCATATCAAGATTTGGAAACTAAAATTAATGGATTCTGTAGATATCTTGAAATCAATGTGCAGCCATAAAATAGTTTGGACTACAAGTTTTGAGAACCACAATCTTATGATGACCCTTAAAATATTTGCATATGGTCTTTTAAAATAGTGAACTGTGGGAAACCTATTGTCCCTGAAGAGTCAGGACAAAAATAAAAAGTCATGCTTGATATTATTCTGCCATTTTTATTTATTTTTTTTTTAATTTTTATTTTTTTTTAAAGATTTTCTTTATTTATTTGACAAAGAGAGAGAGAGAGGGAGA